TGTCCCACGCCCTGGCACCCTCCACCCTCCCAAACCCTCCTGATTTTGCCATTTGGAGCTGCAGCCATGCTCCAATGTGTTCCTCATTAGGAGGGGCAGACAGCCCAGCGCGGAGTCTGAGCCCTAATCTCCTTTCCAGTTGGTATCCGTCAGCAGATGTACAACAAGTGCTGGGATATTTTAGTGGGCATGTGTGGGACAGAGCCACTGGGTTGTTTTTTTTTTCTTTCCAGCCAGGGGGGATGGATTAAATGCTGTGGCTCGAGGCTGTGATGGACAGCAGGTCCAGGGAAGGCAGCTCTGCTGTGGTTTATTTTACCAAGAGCTTTTCTGGAAGAAGTGGTGATGAAGTTAACAGCCTGCAAGCCATAATTGGCTCACATTAAAGCAAGGAAATGATATGTTTTGTTTTCCTCTTTTTTTTTTTTTTTTTTTTTATCATATTAAACAGGCAAAACCCACACAGAGCCAAAGAAGGAGCAGGCAGCAGCTCTCAGGAATTCAGGGGGGAGATTTTTTTGTCCCAAGTGTAAAGAAATCCAGTCCTTGCCATCAAAGAAAAAGTAACTTCAACTTCAAAATACCCAGCAGAAGTGGGCAAGGGAAGGGGAATCCAAAAAATTCAGGTTGTGGCATCGCAACAGGCATTGCTCCAAAGCCTGGCCCAGCAGCTCCAAAGGACACAGTAAAATAAAAGATGTACTTAAAATTCTTCTTCAAATAATTTTATTTATCCTGCTACCTGCCAGCAAACACAGGCTGTCAAAAACCTTGCTGGTGCCTCTGGATGTGCAGGATATTTCCTGCATTTGTTCTTAAAATTCAATTTTTAGCCCCTGTGGCTGCATCCGGATATGGGCTGAGCCTGGCAGTGGCAGAATCATTGTGCCAAGGTCACAGATCAGCATCAGCCTCTCTGACATCCCTGCAGGGATTCCCATGGATGTGTAGCCCTGTTGCCCTGAGTTTTAAAAGTATTACATTTTCTTTTATAGTTATTTTAGAAGTTTTGTATGCCTTCTGATAATGTTTACATATTTCTACTGGAGTTCTCACACATGTACATGTAAATAATGATTGTTTTGAATTCTTCTTTTTTGGGAGAATTGATGGGCTGTTGGTTTGACCAGTGTGGTTGGAGAGGTGGAAATTTCAACCTCCAATCCACTGTCACTTTTGGAATTCTATATATTGTGAGGTCAGAAATAAAATTGGCTCTTTTTTCTCTCTTAAACACATTTTGTGTCCTCATTTCGTGTCCAGTAGCAACACTGCCCTGTGCTCACCGAGTTTTCACCCAGCACCCAAACCCCAGCCTGGCTCAGCAGCAGGGCACTGAGAGCCATCAGGAATCAGCTGGAAGCAGCCACATCCCAGCTCATCCTGCCCAGAGCTGGATTTTGTGGAAAACCCAAAAGCACAGCATCCCTGGGGACACCCAGCCCTGCGTTTGTCACTGCACAGGTGACCCCCACCAGATCCAAGGGGTGCAAGGACATCCAGGGATCCCTCCAAGGATCCCTCCCTCTCTCAGGATCCAGAAGAGTGCCCTGCCCTGACACTGCTCACACCCAAAGCTGTCACAGAACTCACAGTGAGTGACAAAGTCACCACATGGCATAGGAAGGGCTGGAAACCCAGAACCTTTCCCCAGGTCCCTTTTTCATCCACAGTCCCAGTTTCACTTGTACCCACAAGCCACTGGAATTTGTGGGTCACAGGACTTCGTGTGACATCAAAAAAAAGTCCCACAAGCAGGTTAAAACATTCCACTTTTGGTACATTCCCCACCCAGCTGAAGGGCACACACACATCTCCCAGCTCATCCCAGCTCCTGAGGTAACCAGGTTGGAAGTGGGACACTAAAACCCTTCACTCCAAGCATGGGGACATGAACAACTCTTCCATTTGCATGGCAACAAGGAAATCCCTCAAATTCAACCATTTTCCAACTTATAAACAACAAAAAAAGCCCCAGATAACCCCAATGGGAAGTTCTAATTTTGTTTGGGAATGTCATTTTCAAGTGGCACATGAGAAATCACACTCGGACCCAGCCCTGCTGACAGGCAAATATTTATCCCCAGAAAATTTCTACATAAACCCATCACTTTTGTCAGTAGGTCTGGACACCGGGAGCAGAGTGGGAAGGCAGGGAAAGGGAAGCCAGGAGGCACAGGGAGCACCAGCCCTGCCCAGCAGGTCAGAACCACAGCGAGTCCCTCTCAGATCACTGCAAGCTCCGCCAGCCTCATTCCGAGGCAAGATGCAGCTTTTTCCAAAGCATTCACAGCAAAGATTTAATAGGATTTCAGAGCCAGTTGCACCTTTTTTCCAGTACATGCAGCCCATGCCAGCCTCCCTTCCCCAAACCTGCAGCACTCCATCATTCAGCTCCGTGTTGGAGCGAGGAGGATCCTGTCCCACACACATTTCTCAGTCTATCAGGCAGAGTTATTCCTCTGCTCTGTGTTTGGATATTCACAAAGCCATTACCATCCCTCTCATGCACATCCATCATCAGGCCTTCAAACTCCAGAAAGCCCCAAAAAAAACCTAATTTTCCACTCACCATGCAGCCTGCCAGGCTCTGCTCTTCTACTCTGCGTTCCTTCAGGCATCGAAAGACGTTTCAGCAAGTTCAGAGTATGACAAAACAAACAGATGGCAGCCTGAGAGGTGGTGATTTTCTCCTCTGGGGGGAGTGGGCTGAGGGATTCAGCCAGGGAAGAGCTGAGCTCTGTCTGCCTGGTTGGGAAAGCCAACCTGGGCTCCAGGTGCTGATGCCCACAGGGAGATGGGGGTGCAGGAATTCTTTTCCAAAGGCATGGGGTTTTGGAAAGTTGTGGGAGGAGCAGCTGGAGCTGCTTCCTGAGCTGGGAGTCCCCCAGTTGCACCTCCCAGGGGTGTATCCACCACCAGGCCAGACCCCAGCAAGCACCCACCTTCATCCCCTGTGTGCCCAGCAGCCAGCAGCCAGCTCCTGCATGGCTCTGCAAGCCCAGCACACGCTGCTCTGCAAGGAAATGTACCTCTGCACCCCCCTGATGGCTCCTCAACAGGGACCACTCTCCCCAAAATCACCCACTGAGCAGCACCACGCTGCAAAACCCCAGCTCTGCTCCAGCCTCAGCATGTGGGGGATGCAGAGAGAACCAGCCCTGCCCCAGCCCAGGGCAAAGCAGCCCTGGGGCTGCCCCAGCCCAGCACAGACACCGGGCGTTCTTCCATCCTCATCCAGCACTCACCAGCTCAGACTCACAGCAAGATTTATGAAAGGATGTGGCCAGATGAGCGATAGAGATGGATAGCCCTGAGGAGTGACTGATTTCTCCCTTACAAGAGGGATAGAAATTAATTTATGAATTGGGTTAGTTGAGTTGCCAAGTGGCTTTGATGCTGTTTTTTTTTTTGCATATGTTCGTGATCTATCTCCCAGCTGTTGGGGGGAGGAGGAAGGTCCTGGGGAGCTGGAGCAATGCATCACTCAGCCCAGGCAGCCAACAGCTCTCAACAAAACCAGATTGCCCTTTAATCAGCCAGGGGTTGCTCTGCTTTGCCAAAGTGGGCACCCAGCCCTCCCCAGTTCACCCTGGAGCTGTTGCTTGCTGCAGACGTGCAGGAGCCACTGCCATGTGAGGCTGGGCAAGCACAGCCCACCAGAGACAACCCTGCCACTGAGCCTGCCCTCACCTCACCCACCCCTTGTCTGTTTTGGAAGGACCCACAGCAGGTCAGGGAGATCTGGAGCAAAGTGGTGGATCCTTTATTCCTTACCAAAAATGGACTTTTAGGAAAAAAAAAAAAAACAGCAAAGGGCAGAGCGAGGATGTGGTGCAAGGACCTGTCCCACCACACCCGAGGGACCCCTTCCCTCAGGGGACACTCAGGGACAGACCAGCCCAGGGGCTCAGTCCCAGCCAAGAGCAGCACAGACAGCAGCTCCCCCGAGCTTCCCAGAGTTACAGGTGCTTGGAGGGTTTTCAAGACACAAAGTAATTTCCTGCTTGAAGCAGTTGACAAATCTGCACAGAAACTGGAGAACCCTCTGTGTTTCGGGGATGGATGCTGCAAAATCATGTAGTGGGAAGCCAGCCCAAATTCATGGAGCAAAGTGCAAGCAGGGGAGGAAACTGATGGTGCCTGCTGATGGAAGGGGAGCTGTGGTCACAGGGACCAGCTCCAGGTCTGTTGTGACCTCCCTGCTCAGACCAACACAGAGCTGAAAATTTTTTGGATGAGCTGTCCTGCCCACCCCTCTGTCCCAGCAATCCCTGACCTTTCTTCCTACGGGGGAAATCAGAGCCCCGAGTGCCTGAGTCAGCTGTAAATCCCCTGCAGGCTCAGACAGCAGAGGCAGCTCTTGGTGGTTGCAGAAGGAGAACCAGCTTGCACAGGGGGAAGGCACAGCAGCTCCTGAGGTGTCACTGCAGCCCCCACGCAGACTTGGGGGTGCAGAAACCATCCACGTGTTCCAAAAAGCACCAGGGGCCAAGGGGAATGATGGAAACAAGAGGAGCACTGCGGCAGTTTGGGGAAATAGAGCTTTTGAGAATTAAATCCAAGTGGCTCTGGTTCACAGCTAGCAAGACACAAACTAAGCCCTTTCCTACAGCATGAGTTTGGACCTGCAGTTTCCCATCACAACACTGCCCACAGAGCCCTGAGGGGTTGGGGGGAGCAGGGTGAGGGGGAAAATGCACCCATGGGCAGCCTGGGGCCCACCCGTTGTGTGTGGCAGAGGTGCTGCTCTCCCATTTCCATCCTTATCACTGCCCTTCATCCCCATCCCCTGCTCCTTGTGCCCTCTCCATGCTCACCTCCCTCTGCTTTCCTCTCCAGCCTCTTCCCCACCTCTGTTCTACACTGGAAACCCTTTCCCAGGGTGGCTCTGGAGGCTCCCACAGATGGAATTTTCCCTTTTAAACAGAGGCAGCATTGGGCCGGTCTGACTGGTACCAGTTCCTCAACGGGACAGACGTGCCCTTAGCAAAGGGACGTTTCTGCTGGCGAGCACAGCTCTGTGAGGACCATCCCTGCACGTGTCCCTGCAGGGGGAGGGTTTGGTGGCTGTGGGGCTGGGCAGGGTGCAGCCTGCAGGACACCCCTGTCAGCGCCGCAGTCACCCCGTGGCTCTCCTCCTGCTGGTTTTCCGGCCCCCCCGGTTTCCTGCTGAGGGGCAGCCGGGTGTAAGCCCAGGAGGCACAGATTTCTCTGGTTAGGCAAGGCCAGGCAGCCTCTCCCCTTTCGCTTTCAGCTGCCTCTTCTTCCCCTTCCCCGGGCAGCCCCAGCATCCGCAGGGCCATGGAGCGCAGGGACCGCGAGCCCCTGGTGAGGAAATCCAGCTCCTCGTACCGCACCTTCCCCGAGAGCGCTGCCAGGAGGCTCGACAAGGAGTACCTGAGGTGAGGAGCAGGCTGGGGCCCAGCGTGGGCAGAGGTTGGGCTCTGCCCCCCATCCCGAGGGCAGCAGGCTGGGGGGAGCTGGGGGGAGCTGGGGGAAGAGCTGTTCCATACTCCTGCTACTCCTGAGCTGCTTTGAGGTGGGATCTCACCCTGCCCAAGGTGGCTGGATGAGCCCACTTGGAAGCCTGGTGGGTTTGTGTGACTCCTATGGGGGCAAGAGGTCCTGCTAGGGGCCACGGGGCTTTGAAAGAAACTTTTCCCTGTTCTGCTGGGATGAACCGGCTGCTGCTGGGTTTGTGGTGCCACCCAGCTCCAGCTTCTGCTTTTCTTGCTCTTTTGAACCCCCTGAGAACTGCCTGGCACAGAGAGAAGCACTAGCACAGAGAAACCCCACCAGTGCAGAGCCATTCCCCAGGAAAATCCCCCCGTGGGTGCCACCAGAGCCTCGGCAAAGGCCGGGGGAAGCAGGGTGAACTTTCTGCTGGCACCCAACACGTCCGTGTCTCTCCGTGCCTCCCTCAGGAGCCTCCACAACAGGCGCCTCTACCTGGCTGTGTTTGCTGCTGTCCTGGGCAACTTCAGCTTCGGCTTCGCCCTGGTTTATCCCTCCCCCGTCATCCCTGCCCTGGAGGCTCATCCCAGCCCCGCGCTGAGGCTGGACCAGCACACAGCGTCCTGGTTCGGGGTAAGGAGGGGGTGATCCCTGCCAGGGTGCGGGCAGAGAGGGCAGTGCCAGGCTCACACAGCGTCCTGTTTCGGGGTAAGGAGCTGGGGGGTGCCCGGGGGATGCCAGGCTCATACAGAGCCCTGGTTCAGGGTAAGGAGCAGGGTTATCCCTGCCAGGGTGTGGGCAGAGCGGGCAGTGCCAGGCTCACACAGTGATCTGGTTCGGGGAAAGGAGCCGGAGGCAGGATGGGGGCAGAGCTGGGGGATGCCAGGCTCACACAGTGCTCTGGTCTGGGTTAAGGAGCCGGGATGTGCCCAGGGGGATGCCAGGCTCACACAGTGATCTGATCTGGGATAAGGAGCCGGGATGTGCCCGGGGGATGCCAGGCTCACACAGTGCTCTGGTCTGGGTTAAGGAGCCGGGATGTGCCCAGGGTGATGCCAGGCTCACACAGTGATCTGGTTTGGGGTCAGGAGCCAGGATGTACCCGGGGGGATGCCAGGCTCACACAGTGATCTGATCTGGGATAAGGAGCTGGGATGTGCCCAGGGCGATGCCAGGCTCACACAGTGCTCTGGTCTGGGTTAAGGAGCCGGGATGTGCCCGGGGGATGCCAGGCTCACACAGTGATCTGGTTTGGGGTCAGGAGCCGGGATGTGCCCAGGGTGATGCCAGGCTCACACAGTGATCTGATCTGGGTTAAGGAGCCGGGATGTGCCCAGGGCGATGCCAGGCTCACACAGTGCTCTGGTTTGGGGTCAGGAGCCGGGATGTGCCCAGGGGGATGCCAGGCTCACACAGTGATCTGATCTGGGATAAGGAGCTGGGATGTGCCCAGGGCGATGCCAGGCTCACACAGTGATCTGATCTGGGATAAGGAGCTGGGATGTGCCCGGGGGATGCCAGGCTCACACAGTGCTCTGGTCTGGGTTAAGGAGCCGGGGGGTGCCCGGGGGATGCCAGGCTCACACCGCCCCTCTCTGCGTGCCCGCAGTCGGTGTTCACGCTGGGAGCGGCGGCGGGCGGGCTCAGCACGATGCTGCTCAACGACTGCCTGGGCCGCAAGCTGAGCATCATGTTCTCGGCCCTGCCCTCGGCGCTGGGCTACGCGCTGCTGGCCGGAGCCCAGGGCCTCTGGATGCTGCTGCTGGGCCGGGTGCTGACGGGCTACGCCGGCGGGGTGACCTCCGCCTCCATCCCGGTAATGCCAGGGGGATGCGGGGCAGCGGGTGCTGCGGGTGGGCTGGGGGTGGAAGGGCAGGAGATGCTGTGGTGCCCTGGACGAGCTGGGGGATGATGCTGGGGCACGATTCTGGGGCACCTCGCTGCTTTTCGGAGGCATCAGCAGAGCCCCAGGGCTGTGTCCGGGCGAGCAGGATGGGGAGGATGCAGGAGGTCAGCATCAGGGCTGGGGAGGGTGTGCCCGCTGTTGGTGCTGGACTTCCTCGCCTGCAGGAAAGACAAGGCAGGTCCTCAGCCCCTGCTCCTCCCAGCAGTTATTTCCTCCCAAACAGCCCGCTCGTGTTCCACACAGAGGGGAAGAAAGGAGTTGAGTAACAGCAGGGCAGCTCTTCCCAGTAACGAGGCGCTGCTGGAGCACTTCTCGCACACAGCGGGAGGAGGGAAGCGGTGCTGCCGGCCAGGCTGTCCTCCCCTCCGGCCAGATGCAGCTGCACCCATCAGCTGCCCACCCCGAGAGGGCAATTCCCCAATTTGGGTTTCCTCTGGTCACAGGGCGTGAGTGCGAGGTGGCAGAGGGAGGGAGGAGCGGCGGGTGACAAGGGATGTTGCGGCTCTGTGAGGTGTGTGTTGTCCCTGTCCAGGTTTACATCTCGGAGATCTCCCACCCGGGGGTCAGGGGGATGCTGGGGGCCTGTCCCCAGATCATGGCAGTGCTGGGCTCCCTCGTCCTGTACGCTCTGGGCAAGTATCTCCGTGGTGTCCCAGTGTCCAGGGCAACACTGTGGGGAGGGGGAGCTTAAAATAATCAACCTGCTCAGCAGGTGAGGGCTTGTTCCCCTCATGCCCACAGCTGTGCTGGACAGGAGGGGCTGCACAGGGTCAATCACTCCCCTTGCCCTGGTGTGTGTGCTCTGAGGGGTGAATCCACAGCCCACAGGGACTTGTGGCCATCGCTGTGCCCGCAGACCCAGGTCCTGATGAGGTTTTGCCAGGGCTCAAAGGCAGCACACAAAGATATCCCTGTGCATCACCTGCCAGCACATGCCCTGGCTGCAGCAGGATTTTGATGGATACTCCCAGATTTGCTGGAATTTCCCCATATCATACTGCTGGAAATGCTGCTGTAATAAGAGAGAATATATTAAAAATATTTTTTTTATTATTACTATTTTTCCTGCTGGCTTTATTAAATGAAATCATTGGGGTACCCAGGTGGAGGCAAGGCCAGGACACCCATTCCTGAGTGGTTTTCCCCTAACTGTGCTTCTCTGGCAGGGCTGGTCCTGGACTGGCGCTGGCTGGCCGTGGCCGGGGAGGTGCCCGTGCTTGCCATGGTCCTCCTGCTCTGCTTCATGCCCAACTCGCCCCGGTTCCTGCTCTCCCAGGACAAGGAGGAGGAGGCCCTGGGCTCCCTGTGCTGGCTGCGGGGTGAGGACACAGATTATGGCCGGGAGTACGAGCAGATCAAGGACAGCCTGAGGAAGCAGGTGAGAAAGCTCAGCACAGGGAAATGTAACATGAAAACTGCAAAATCCATCCCCTGGGCAACTCCTGAGCCACCTTCTGGATGCCAGATGGTTTCCAGAGGTGTCCTCACTTTGTGTTTCTGCCTTTGTCCCCTCCAGAGCCGTCGGGTTTCCTGTGCTGAGCTCAAGGACCCCTTCCTTTACAAGCCCATCCTGATTGCGGGGGGAATGAGGTTCCTGCAGCAGCTCTCGGGGGTCACCTGCATCCTCGTGTACCTGCAGCCAATATTCAAGAGAACATCTGTCATCCTGGTGAGCCCTGGGCCTTCAGTGAGGGCTGCCCAATGCTCCAGCTTCCCTACAGACATAAAACCCTTTTCTAAAGGCCCTGCCCTGCAAAAGGCTGAGGGAGGATGGGGAGCAGGACTGGCCCCACTGTGTCCCTGCTCCTCCTCTGAGTTCAGGCTCATCATCTCCAGTCTCCTGCTGGGAGAACAGCCTTGGCCAAGTCATCAGCAGCTGTAGGCACCTGCCCCTTCCCCCAGCTCAGCTTCCCCACTGGTTTTTTGGCAGCAAGCAGAGTACGATGCAGCTCTGGTTGGCCTGGTGCGTCTGTCTGCGGTGGCCATCGCTGCTGTGTCCATGGACAAAGCTGGGAGGAAGATTCTCCTGTTTGTATCAGGTATGGCTCTCTCCACTCCTCCCTGTCTTGCCAAGGGAAGCTCTTATTGAAGGATTTTCAGGAGCTCTGCGAGTGTGCAGGAGTGGAAACTTCAGCCCTACAGGGCTCAGGGAGGGAGGCAGGGAGGTCTCTTTCCCTTGGTGGTGGTTCAGCTCCTCAGCAGGGGCATTCCCAGGAGCTTGGCATGGAGAGGATCACCCACCCATCATTCTCACTGTGCTGCTGCCTCTCTCCACAGCTGGTGTCATGTTGGTCTCCAACCTGACCATGGGGCTCTACATCCACTTTGTGCCAGCTTCTCACAACGGCACCGTGGCCAACACCACCCTGGTGGGCTCTGCCACCCTCCCTGCTGAGCCAACAAACTACATCACCCTCATCCCTCTCCTGGCAACCATGTTCTTCATCATGGGTAGGTGCAGAGGGCACAGGACTGGCCGCCAGCCAGGGGAGGGTGTTTCTCATCCAAGGGAGGGTGATGTGGAGCAAGGAGATGGGGTTTGGAGGTGGAAGGAAGGCAGATGTCCATGGGAAAGCAAGAAAAGTGAAGTCACTTTGAAGAATGACACGAGTGGGAGGGATAATGGTTGCTCAGGGCTCTTCTGCACTCCTCAGTGGCCTCCAAAGCCTGTCCCTCCCTGCCCTCCTCCCCTGCAGGCTATGCCATGGGCTGGGGCCCCATCACTTGGCTGCTGATGTCGGAGATCCTCCCTCTCAAAGCCCGTGGGGTCGCCTCGGGCCTCTGTGTGGTCGTGAGCTGGCTGACAGCCTTCACCCTGACCCAGTTCTTCCTCCCAGTCGTGGTGGGTACTGCCCAGGGCTGTCCAGCAGCCCCTCCTCAGCCCCTCCCTGCACCAGCTCACAGCTCTTTCTGCCCCACTTTCCAGAACGCCTTTGGCCTCGAGGTGCCCTTCCTGTTCTTCGCTGTCATCAGTGCTGGGAACATCTTATTCACAGGCTGCTGTGTCCCTGAAACCAAAGGCAGGTCCCTGGAGCAGATCGAGGCCTTTTTCAGGACTGGCCGGAGGTCATTCCTGAGGTAGGAGCTGCCCTTGCCCAGGCTGAGGGCAAAGCAAACTTGTGCTGCTGGAAGTGGAGGCTGGAGCTCCCTGAGGGAGAGGAAGGGGCAGCAAAGATCATCTTGCTCTGGCTGTAGAAGTTGCCAGCTGGAACTTCACCTTCTCCTCCTGTCACACAACACTACCTGTCAACCCTTGGGATGGGAGCAGGTCACCAGCAGGGCCAGGCTGGAGATAAAGGTGTCCTGGAAGAACAAGTGTGGACAGGAGGCCATGGTTGCCCTTTGCTCAGCAGCCTGAGGGCTTGGCTGGAGCTGAGTTTACAGCTGGAGCTGTTCTGGCAAGAGCTCATCATGTAGCTGCAAGAATAAAACAGTTTTGCCTCCAACTGCAAGGCATTGCCTCGATTTGCAGAGAAGGGAGGGATGGGAGAGGCAGAGCAGGACTGTGGCAAGGGGACCACAGCAGCCTGCAGCTCCCCAGAGGAGTGTCAGGCACTCAAGGACCGTGAAAGAGGCAGAGCCAGATCTTTTGTATAAAAAGCTGCCACGTTTTATTGCTCTAAAAACACACATTACACTAGAAGCCTAATGAATAAGACCAAATACAGTTCACAAAGAAAAACCAGGACAAAAGAATGGGAACAGACATCCAGCTGTAGTGCAAGTGATTCCCTGTGGGAAAGACACAGTGAGTACTGACAACACTTTGTGCTGGGGTGGGTCCTTCCCACCCTGGGGTTGACCCACAAAGAGGGAGGTGGATGTGCCTCCACCTCTATCACTTTTAGATTTCAACTGCATAGTTAGTAGCAAATCAGTCTTACCTCTTTCCTGTGTGTCCTGCAAGATTAAGAACCTTTCATAATTATTTTTTAGAGCTAACCCGAGGTAAAACACGGCTGCAGGAGGTGGTTATGGCTGTGAGGAACAAAGGGCCTTGCTCAGTCCAACCTGACTCCTCCCAAAAGGGCAGAAGCACAAAGGCTGAGCTGGGACATGATGTGCCCAAGCATTTGTCCAAGCTCCTGAAATGCACTTGGCAGCCCAAGGGCTATTCCTGGGACATTCAGCCTGCTGTCCTGAGGAAGCAGGGGTAAAACAGCATGTCTGAGCCAGCCCTCCAGATGTGCCAGCTGCCATTCTGATCTCCTGCAGCAGGAGATGAGAAATCACCTAAGAGAAGATGTGCTTTATCACAGCATTAATTTAAAACAGCCTAGGACAGAGGGAGAGTGGTGGGCCAAAATAAAAAACACAGAAAACATTCAGTATTAAACCTACCCTCTGCTGCTGAGACCCTTTTCCAGAAAGATGTTCAGCCCTGGCTGGAACACAACTTTTGCTAAGCATGGCCTGACTACAAGAGGTCTCAAGAGCCTCTGGTTTCCACTGACTTTCTGAAGATCAGGATTTCTGGCAGCCCTGTGCTCGAGCATTCTCTTTCTCACATGGCTATGGACCAGGTCTTGATATCTTCACTTCAGTGAAACCCTTCCCTGAAGACAGTGGATGTTTTTTCCTGAGGAAAAAATGACAGAGATGAATTGAGCTTCCCAGGGCTCAGCCTAAGGAGGAAATGCCCCACTAGGAAATGAGGCTGGACTCTTCAGCTCCTGAGAGAACTTCACTGGAGAAGCATTTTCTGAGTGACCTCCTTCCTTCAGCACAGCGAGTCCCAGGGCTCTTGCTACAACCTTTGGAGTGTGAGAAATCACAGTGGCTCTTCCAGAGGTAGAATGGTGTTTTTATTCACTGCACACACAGGGAATCAATGGGTGTTACAGAAGCAGCTCCAGCCCAGAGCAGCGAGCTCTGTCCTGCTCTTCACGCCCCGTGGGCAGCCCCAGGGGACACGGAGCTGCCACCCATGAGTGGCAGAGGCATGGAAGAGTGGCACGGTGCATAAATGCTGCCCTGGTGACCGGTGTGTGACAGGCCACTGCTCCCCAGGGCTCCTGCCACTCTTGGTGCTCACTGTCCTCAGCGTGTCACCCCTCCCTGAGCCCTCAGAGCAGCTCCTTCCTGAGGCCTGGGGAGCAGACCCTGCCCCACAGAGCCCCTGTGGATCAGCAACCCAGCTTGGGTTGAGCCTCTGAGCAGGGTTTGAACTTCATTTGTCCTTGCACAGCTCCGAGCACCCCGAGGGTGCCTCTAAACACAACTAACATCCACCATGCACTGGCATTTAACTACTGTGGTGCTACTCTACTCTAAAGCTCCTTCCTATCTCCACCAAAAACGGGCCGACATGGAGGTGAGACCATCCACTGAGTGCCACTACAGCTCCTGCAAGCCAGAGGTGCTGTCACCAAGGCTGTCTGCAATGCTGGCAGCGTCTGGCTTGGTTCCAGACAGCCAAAATTCCCAAGGGTTCCCACTCCAGAGGCCCCTGTAGGAGTCACCACCCTTGGAGCACGGATCTGAGCCACCTCCAGTGGTGACAGGCAGGGACACTTCAAGCACTGTGGCCAAAGGCTGCAGCTCAGCTCTCAGGGGAGTCCCTGAGGCCCATTTCCAGCTCGGGGCTGAGCTTTGCCACCTGCTCCTGGTGGCAGATTGATGCAGATTTCTCCCTGGCCTCAGCCCCAGGGTCAGACCCTGCTGCCACAAAACGCTGTGGCAGCACTGCTGGGACTTCTGCCTCGGTGCCAGGGGAGCAGAGGGGACCCTGCAGGTGCCCTGGAGCAGAGCCCACCTGCCCCAGCCCCAGGGACCACGGCAGGAGGAGTGGCAGGTGAGGGTCCCACCCTGCAAGGCTCAGTCCCTGAGCTCTGCTTTGCCTTTGGCCTCCTGACTCTAAAGCTACTGCAGAACTACTCACGGAGCAAAGCTGTCACTACCAGAGACACTGACATGCATCAGTCTGCAACATTCCTCTACTAAACACTACACAACTCCCCACACCCCCCTGAAATCAAAGCACCTGCCCATTCCTGAGGCAGCACCAGCACCCCGAGGTTATTCCACATTGCTCCTGCAGCATCCAAACCTGCAGGCAGCAGGAGGCTGTGGCCCCTGCATTGCATCCAGCACCAGGGATCAGCCAAGGGCTGGGGGCTCCAAACCAGCACAGCTTTGAGGGAAAAAAGCTGCCTTTATGGGAAAAAAAATCCAGGCTGGTGGTGCCTGCTCTGCGTCCCAGACACAGATTGTTGGAGCAATCCCAGTTCAAAGTGGGGGGGAAGGGGCTTTGCATAAAAAATGTGCCCACATCCAGAGGCTGGAGCCTCTGGAAATCCTGACTGGTGGGAATCCTGACTGGTGGGAATCCTGACAGCTCCTGAGCTCCAGGGAAGAAGCAGCAGCTCACAGGAGCTGGCAGCTTGAGGAAGAGCAGGGTGTAAGGAGAGTTTCCAGCATGGACAGAGCCCTCTGACAGAGAGCACTGGCCTCCAGCAGCGTTTCTCAGAGCACAGCACAAGCCCTCTGTACACAAGGATTCAAACAGGGACACAGAGTGCTGGTGGCTGTCCCAATCCAGCAGTTTTGTCCCAGTTTTCCTCCCTTTTCTCTCCCAGAAGAGGGGGAAAACACAGTTTGTCAAGTTTGTGGCCCAGAACAAGACAAAGGGATCAAAGGACAGCACAGGTTTTTTGGAGAGTCTGAGAAATACTCTGAAGGCTGAGAGTGGATTTTGCAGCAGCCAGGTCTCTCCCTGTTCTCAGAGACCCCTGGTGAAATGAGGCAGCCCTGTGAAGGACAGGAAACAGAGCACTCCTCCTATATCCAGAGAAAATGAGTCCCATCAAAGTACTTAAATAACTAGAAATAAATTATTCCCCTTTTTCCTAATCAAAACAAAAAGCAACCATATAAAAATCAAATAAATTAAAATCCCCAGGAGAAACTGGGATGAAAAGAGGGGGGGGTCTGGACTTAGTGAGCAGTTTTGTACTGCTTGGTACAAAGCAAACAGAAAATACAATGTGAAAACCACAGAAAAGCCTGGAATAGCAAAGTAAAATATCCCAGCTGTCCACACTGAAATGGTGCAGCCTCCTCTCTGTTTGCACAGGGAAGATGTGCCACCTTCCCATACAAAACCAGCTCAGGATTGATGCAAAAAACCACAATCCCAAAGACAAAGGCTGCACCAGGCAAGCAGAGCAGGTCCCTTCACAGAGGGATGCAGGAACAGAGTCCCAGGAATGCTCCTGCACATCAGTGACTCCCACACCAGCAAAATTCCCACTTGGCTCAAGAAACAATATCCTTTTCAGCTGTGGTACAGCAAATATTGTTTCCCTTGTGCCCCAGTAAAAGAGTGAAGCTTAAGAAAAGTGCCCTTATTAAGAAAAAGTAATTAATTCTCATAATTCAAGTAAATGGCAGTCACTGCCTGCAGCTGTATCCAGAGGAAGCAGGGACTGTGCATTGCAGGCCCAGCAGCTCTGGTAGCTCCCCTGCAGAAATGGATTTTTCTTTAGATGGGTTTTTGCTGGAAATCCTTTCCCGTGCAGTGATGCCTCCAGTGCTTGGTCCCATAATTAAAATAGTGGAAGAAGACCAAGCTTGAGCAGCAGGGAGTTCTGCAAACCCTGGGTTAGGTGTTGTACCTGGGAAGGGCCATGCCAGGGAGTGCTCCTAAACACGTGGAATCTGCACTGGCAGGTCCTCTGTCCCTCCTCACCCATCCAGAGGGCAGTCCATAAAAACAAAACAAAAGAAAGGGTGGGAAAGCAGCACTCAGAGAGCCAGCACCTCTGCAGCAAAAAGAAAATATTAAATAATAGGAGCAGTGTTTGGGATGAGGGCTGAGGAGAGAAGGAGCGATGTGCTGAGGTCTGGCTGCTGGTGTGAGGAGAGCACACAGCCTGCCCAGCCCCTGAGATTTCCAGTTGCTGCAGTGTCCAGGGCACTCGTGGTGCAGCAGGGAGTGGAGAGGACAGAGGGAAGGGCAGAGTGGACTTCCACATCGTCACCACCTCAGTGTCCAGGAGATGCTGCCCCGAGCTGGTGTCCTTCAGAGAGCCTGTCCCTCCAGGCTCCCCGTCAGCTTCTCCTCATCCATCTGCTTCTGCTGCTGGTGGATGCGGGCGTAGGAGATGGCATCTCCCCTGTGGAGAGAAGGGACAGCGTGGGGATGGCAGGACTGTCCCAGCTGGGACCTGCCTCTCGTGCCAAGGGATTCCAGGGCTCAAACCACACTTGCTGGCCCTCTCCACCCCCCAAAGCTGCTTCTGCCCCAGAGCTGGGCCCATCCACCCAACAGCTGCAGAAAGAAGAGCGGGACCCTCAGGACTCCTAAAACTCAGAGCTTCAGCAGCCTCCAGACCTTCCCTCCCAGGGCTCTGAGGCAAGGGAGATTTTCTCTGGCCGCCTTCATGCCTCAGCACGGTTTGGGCAAGAGGAAGCAGAGCCTTAGGGAGGCAGATGAGGCAAGGGCTGGAGCTCCATCTCCCCCTTCCCTGCCCTCCACGAGCAGCTGGACCTCTCTTACTTCTTTCCAAGGGCCGACAGACCGTAGAGCACGCCGGTGGCGAAGGCGATGGCGTTGCCCAGGAGCGTGGTGAGCGTCAGGCTGAGCACGACGGGGAACACGGCCATCCTGGAAGGCAGGGGCAGCCCTCAGAGCAGGGCCAGGGCATGCAGGGATGTTCTTTCCCCAGGATGTGCCCCCCCACTGATAGTAAAAGGGTTTTTAAATCATGGGGATTTAGGGTTAGAAGGAAAATTAAGCTTAGTAGGCACTGAAAAAAATAAAAATACCCTGGGTACGTGCAGGCTTATGTACCTTGCTAGAACTGCACCTGTGTAGCTAGTACATGATAAATGATATAATTGTTAGATGTGATGATTGTTTAGGAATTAAATAGAATTACTGTTTAATCGTAAGGATAATCATGAGGAACTGTGATCAGGGGCCTAAGAAAGATCATGAGAAGCTCATGCTTGAATAAAGTCAGTGTATACAGTAGAGCAATATAAGTTTAATAATGAATGTGTAAGTTATACAATGATATAGAATATAAAATACGTTCAGCTTGAAAGCCGTGTCAGAGTCAGATTTGGGTCTGTACCCCTGATTCCCAGAGCTCTCAATGAAATCACCTGCAGATAATGCTATTCTGTGATTCTGTGTGCTCCTGAGCGCTGACACCATCAGCCCCCAGGAGCGTGGTGAGCATCAGGCTGAGCAGGACGGGGAACACGGCCGCCCTGGAAGGCAGGGGCAGCCCTCGGAGCAGGGCCAGGGCACGCAGGGGTGTTCTTTGCCCGGGATGTGCCCCCCTCCAGCCCCCCAGGATCCTCCTCACCCGCAGTAGAAAGCTGCTTTCTGCCAAGCCCGCAGCCGGTCGGCCCTGGCGCCCACGGCGTTGGCGAACTCGATGAACTGGCAGCAGAAAGGGGCCTCGCACAGGAACAGGACGAAGGCGTTGAGCCTCCGGAGAGAGCAAAGCAGAGTTCATTTCATCCTGCTTTCAGTCACCAGAGTGGGGGTCAGCGATGCCCACAGAGAGCAGGCATTCCATGCTGCGTGCAGGTGGAGGGAAAGGTGAGGCTGAGCCCTGCTCTGCTCCCCCCGCTTCTTGATAATTTCTAAATTTCCAAGCCATGCTGCCCCAGACTTATTTTGGATAAAGGCATCTCAGTATTTACCTAAAAATGCATAAAGAAATAATATAACCAGAATAAACCTAACGTCTTCACCTGCCTGATGGAGCAAGATCTGGCAGCTCCCAGAGCCTGATGGATGTTTCACTGCCATCCGCTGTCCAAGCTTTGCCCCCCTCCGTGGGCTGGGGTTAACAATACCTCCCTCCCAGCAGGAAAATGCAAAGAAACCCTGCTCACATCATCCACACGCCGGCTGCGATGTTCAGGGGGTTGATGGTGACACAGTTCCAGAGACCAGCAAAGGCACAGGCTGGAAAGAAAGAGGATTTCAGTGACCACCATGACCAACCCTCTGTGCCCTTGCCCAGCACCTCTGGGCACTGCAGGGCAGCACAGGATGATGGGTGGAAAGGTTTGGTGGCCCAAAAGGAGCTTGGAATTCAGGGAAGAGCCTTCCTCTGGTATCCTTTTGCCCTGAGTGCTGTTCCAACAATTATTTCCCTTGTGTAGAACAACATTTTCTTGCACATGGAGTCCAGGACTTTATGGATTTTATGTGCCAAGGTAGATAAGCAGTGCCAGCAGGTTCCAGCTCTGAGCAGCACAGGGCAAATTCAGCAGAAACATGACTTGCACACAGGAAAATAATAAATACAGCAGAGGTGAGGCCTCTGACTCACTGCTGTGCAGCTTCACCAGAGATGAGCAGAAAAGAGCTGAGTTTGGGTCTCTGCTAATACCAAGGGAAGTGAATAAAGCCCAAAAGAACCCCAGTGCTCCTGGCTCTCTAACTCAGGGAGAGGAACCAGGCAGCAGTGACCAAGCTGAGCTGCATCCACCTCCCTGCTGCCTCATTAAACTTGCAGAGTGTTCCTGGCACCTGATATGGCTCCTTCCCTCTGCCAGGGCCAGAGCTGGCACCGGGAACTCGAGCCCGAGGAGACACGCTCAGCAAACATCACACTGCAAAACTCCAGCTAAAATGGATTCTTCTTTAAAGGCTGTCTTGGGGATGATGGAGAGCAGCAGAGTCCCTCTCTGAGGATGAGACCAGCCCTGGATTGAGGATTTTGGGTGTCTGCTGAGGGCATCCCTGAGCAGAGCTGCTGTGAGCAGCCCTCACCTTCAAAAGCCCAGCACATGCTTGCAAGGTTTCTTTTAAGCAGCCACTGCTGAATCCTCAGAGCTCCTTTAAAAATAGTTGTTTACCAGGCTGGGAAGCAGAGTTACAGGCAATGACAGGACAGACTGAAGGTCATCCCATGAGCAAATGACCTCCTGGTCTTAGGAAATACCAAAAACCGTTGTTTTTTAACACTCCCTAGACTAAATCCACAGGACCCCAAATTTTTTGGAGAGCCCTGCAAGAACAAGATCAGCTAGCAGAGGGGACATTCCAGAGGATGTGCTAATATCCATGCTCCAAGGGCACTTCTCACCCCCCCATCCCACAGGTTCTGGTGTCAGTGTCCCAACACTGCAGGGGAAACTGAGGCACGGGGGTGGGATGATCTGTTCATGGTCACAGGTGCAAAGAGCTGGAGAGGAGCGATGGCAAGCAGGATTCCTGGGAGCTGTGGGCAGCATGGAGAGCAGGGCCCAAACCAGGGGGTTCCAATTCCCTCTGACCACCAAACCCTTGGATGCTGATGGAAGAGGAGCTCAGGGGAAGCACCCCAGGTTCGTGGCACTCGTTGTCCCCCAGGAAATGACATTCCTGACAATAATGCTGAGTGACTTTCTGGCACTTTATAATTAGCAGAGCAGCAAAACCTCTCAGCTATCCCCAAAACACAGCCAGGGCTGGGGCAGAACCCTGCCTTGCTGAGCAGCATAGCAGAGCACAGAGGTCCAGGCAGCTCCCAGCAGGTCTCCACCATACAACAAACCAAGGGAAGCAGAATGTTCTTTTCCAAGCAAGGTTTTTTTTTTTTGTTTTTTTTTTAATAATCAAACCTACCAGGGGTTGTTTTGCCAGGTTTCTGGTTTGGTTTTGTCCCCAAACACTCCAAAACAACCCTGCAGCAGTCCTGGCTCAGCAACCAGCCTGGTTGCCAGAGGACTAATGACCCAGGAAGCAGAGCTGAGCAAGCCCCACGTCAGCAGGAGCAGCAGGAAAGGAGTCAAAGGTTTGGGATCACAGGAGCACTGCCCCCAGAGCTGCTGCCAACAGCCACAGAACGACTCAGTGACCTTGGGTCTCCTTTGCACAGCTGCTGGTCCCACACAGCCTGGTACATCCCTGTCCCACTGGGGCAGGAGCTGATCCCACTCCTGCCCAGCCACAGATTTCTTTTTCAAATATTTTATTTTCGAACAGAGGCCTCACAACAGGGTTGAAACACAGATAATGCTCCGTGGCACGTAAACTATGGGAGACAAACAGTTCTGCCATTTGTTTAACTGCTGTCCCATCTCAAATCCCTGAGGAAGCACAAATAACTGGGAGCTAAAATGAGGGGGGAAGGACACCCTTCCCTACAAAGGCTCTATTCATTTCCAGCAGCTGGTCACTGTCCTCAACACAAGCCTATTTTTGCTCCTAGAGTGTTTTACAAAAGCCACAGACTCTCCTCGTCCCATTACAAACAGGAACACAAGGAGAGAAGGGACTTGGCCAAGGTCACCAAGCCAGCATGTGCAGGAGCCAGAAAGGGATCCTGAACCTTGTCTGTCTGGTTCTTGCTCCAGTCCTTGGATTGTTCTGGCTGAAGTAAGCTGTGGCTGCAGGTGTTTGCATGTGGCAGATGTTGTCTGCTGGTCTCACCTCCACTAATTAAGTTTCTCGTTCTTTCTGAGGGAATTTTTCCTTCTGTAAGAAATATTCCAGCCCTGTAGCAGTGTTACAATCCAGTTGCTCACAATCCTTATAAATTAGTTCTGTTCTTTCACAGTGAGCTCTGAGAACAACAGCAAACTCCAGCCTTGCTGGTTTATTCATCACCTCTTCTCCAAACCGTCCACCTTCAACGAAGTGATGCTGAACAAGCAGCATTTTGAAGAGGAATGTTGGTAGCACAGGGCACTGGTTGTTTTTTTTTTCACAATCCCCCTTTTCCCTGTTCATAAGGAGAGTTTGTGCCTCATTCTCTGCCTGATAAAGAGACAGTCAAGGCTCCAGAGCCAGCTGTCACTCCCCAGATCTTTGGCAAACCCTGTTAAGGACCTGGCTCTTCTTCCAAAAGCTTCTCTCAGACTCACCCAAAGACATAAAACTCTCATCTTTCCTGTAAAAACAAGCCACGAGGTCGCAGAGCTGTGAACAAAAGGTTGGGAAAATAATCCAAGTATAATTCAGCTGCTTTGAAAGACAAAGACAGAGGGAAAAAGAAGAAATTTGCACTTTCAAGCCACTCAGGAGCTGCTGTAGCACGAGGCTGGCAGTGCCACCAGCACAACCCACCAGCTCTTCACCCTCCATCCACATCACCCCGAGCTCTGCATGGGATAAAACCGCAGGAAAAGTGGGGAGGCTCCTGCTACAGCCACAGCCCGTGGGAAAGAAGCTGCTCCTCTGAACCCCCACCTGGGACCTGCTCCACAGACACTTCCCAGCTGGTTCTCCTGGCTGCTGGCCGGGCCAGGAGCGTGGGGGCCTCCGGCAGGGCACGGCGAGGCCGGGGTGTTCAGAGCAGCCCCACCAAATCCTGCCACACCTCCAGAATTTCAGCACCTAGCACATGGAACGGTGAGAGCAGCACATGTTTTAGCAGCCCGGCCAAAAAGGGTTTTCAGGAGCCTGCCCAGTGATACCACAGGGTGCAAATGTCAGCTCCAAAAACATCGTGGGGTTGTGCAGCCCAGCCCCGAGGCAAAAGGGGCAGGCAGGGGGAGAGGGTGATCAGACACAAAGCTCCAGCTGATGGAATGAATCAGGGTTGATTGCACTGGCTGAGAAACCTTCTTGTTTAACATGAAGTCGTGGACCTGAAGCAGAAGAAATTCTCCATCCTGTGCTCTGCAGGAGATCAGACTAAGCGGTCATAACAGTCCCTCCTGCTTTTAAGAGCTATTAATCTCTCCACAGAATGTAGCAAAACAGCACTCCAGGACAGGCTGATTTCTGGCAAAGTTGCTGAGACTCTTTCCCTGGGAAAATTTTTTTCGGCAGCAGGTAATTCTGAGCTCAGCCAACTCGCTCTGCGTCTGCAGCTCTGTTCTCTGTGTCCTACCAAACCCCTTACAAGCACACAGCACAAACCAAAACCATTCTTCACCTTCAGTAAAACCCACGGGCAGGCCTTCTGCAATCAGCAACAGGAGCAATGGGAAACATGCTCTGACAGTCAGGATGGAGGGAAAAAAATCAAGTTGTAGGAACATATAAACACCCAAAAGTCAAACAGGATAAACCAAACCCTGTGGCCACTCTTGCAGGCCTGACCTGACCCCTGTGAGCCTGGTGCTCATAGTAAAATCATCTAATTTGCCTGCCAGGCACCAGGGCTCAGCTGCAGTTCCCATCACTGCCAGGGAGTGCCATACCCAAGAAGAACGTCGGGGATTTGCAGATTGCCCCGTGACGTCCCCGCTGCCGGGTGCCAAAGTTCAGCAGGCTCAGGGAGCACAGGGCACATCCCTGGTGGGCAGCTGCACCCACCCTGCTCCGGGCACACCACCTCTCCCTTGTGCCCCCAACACAGCAAGCCAGCACCTGGAGCTGGCACCGACCATCACCCCAAAAACCCTTGGTGGCACAGCCAACGTGACCCCCGCGAAGGTGGCAGGGCCCCGACACGAGCTCTGGCATGCAGGAGGGGGCACGCAGAGGGGAGGGGATACTCACACATGCCCCCGATGACCCCGGCAATCCTGCAGAGCCACCTGTACCACCAGGTCATGCCCTCATCGGCGCCCGCTGCCTCGGGGGCTGCTGCTGCTGCTGGGAACTGCTCATCCTGCGAGCTCATCTCCCCCGGCTGCCGGGGGCTCTGCTGCCCACCTGAGCCCCCAGGTGTCACCCCCTCCTCCAGCCAGCCCAGGGGACAGCAGGCAGGACTAAAGCCCTAAAGCCAGGCCCGTGCCCGTGTCCCCATGCAGGGCCTGGCCCCCCAGGGCTGACAAAGGAGGGTGTCTGGCTGCAGAGCGGTGATGCCAGCGGGTCTGGCTGCTGCACGGCTGCCTCGAGCTGCATTGTGGGTCCCCCCCGGCAGCAGGCAGGGCTTTGCCTTTGATGTCACTCGCATGAAAAAGCTGTGGGCAGAGCTCTGCTGCTCATATTCAATAGCACAGGCACAGCCACGCAGCTCACACCAGCTCTGGATGCCCCCCAGGAACAACTGGGTGTTGTTGTAACCCAGCGTTTGCTTTTCCAGGAAGGGAAACAGGAATCCTCACAGCGACGGGAATTGAACGCTGTTGCAAAATTCTGCTCTCCAGATAAGAGGGTTGCCCTCCCTTTATCTGACTGGAATTAGGTTTTCTCCCTAGAAATGGGAGCAGAAGTAGCACTTTGCAAGTAGATGCCCCAGCTGGCAACTCGGTGGTGTCCAAATGGGACACGGGAACACCCTGAACTCTCCTAAATGATGAAGGCAACAGCTGCATTTTGTGCAGATGAACGTGGAACACAAGCAGAGCCCAGCTCTGCACAGTCGATCTGGAACAATAAATAGCAGTGAGATTTGGGATCCAGAGCAGAGTGGGAAGACAGATCCCATCTGCTAAAAGGTTACAAAAAAGGGATTAAGGAAAGGATGTCTTTTCATTACCATCTCCTGTCAGACAGGAAATGAAGGCCCAGGGCCTGCATCACCCACGCACTGCAGAGGGATAGCTGATGTATCCAGCTCCTCGAGGATCTCACTTCAGGAATCTATGTTCTGGCTCCTCCAGGAATGGAACGTAAATCTGGAGGCTGGCAAGCAAAAAACTCCAGGTTTAACCAGCAAAAAAACAGCTATTAATTAAGAAGAGTATTTGTGGTTGTGGAAGGATGTCAGAGAATCCAACTGAGAGAAAGCAGGAGCAGGGTTAAAGCTGCCCAGGCAGAACCATTTATTGCATCCAGCATGAAGAGCAAGTGCAGATGTGTCCAGCCAGACTCCAGGTGCAGAAAAGACCCTTTAAGCAGTATATTGTGATTTTGAGGAGGATGACAGATTTGGACCAAAGCACAGCCCAATGTTCAAGATACTAAAAAAAAGAAATAACCTAAAAAATACATTTAAATGAAGCTTGTGTGAATATTTGCCACTGCTCTAAAATCCCTCTTCCTGCCACAGCTTGTCCATCAGCCTCAACCATAGTTCTTGTCAAATGAAGATACAGATTGATAGCACAGCTGCTGTTCTTATCCAAGTTAAACCTGGCATTCATCTTTCATTTTCTCACAGAAAAGAAGTGGTGGTATCACTGTCAGATATCCAACAGCAGAACCACAGAAAGGGTGGCTGGGGAGAGACCTCAGGATGTCATTTAGTCCTCCCACATGAAGCCAGCTGTCACCAAGGCTTGCCCAGCAGTGCCTCAGTTCAGCCAACTTCTGAAAACATTCAAGCTTTGAGTGACCTGCCCTAGTGTGGCACTAATGTGCCCACCCCACACATCTCCTTGTGCTGGCAGTTTATCCTCATACACATCTCTGCCTTCTTTACTCCATTCCAGAACTTCACTGTGCCTCAGTTTTGAGGGGCATTTACACTGAAAGACAGTGAATTTAATGGCTAAAACATTATTTGTGGTGTACAGAGGTTTATACTGGAACACCAAGAAATCAAATGACTCTCCCAAAAGGCCCCACCACACTACAGAAGCAGGACCCTGACACACTGCAGTTCCCAAGTCACCTCCTGCAGACATGTAAAGTGCATTAATGCCAACCAAATCAGACAGAAAGGAAGATTTGCTAAATATTTGGGGATTACATGTCTTTTGTATGATCTTTATCAAGACTGAGATCCCAAAGGAGTCAGTAGACATTGTTCTTACTCAGCAGATGAAGAAGCAGTTGCAAGAAGATTAAATGTGTGCTGTGAGCAGGCAGTAGTGACCAGCTGGGCCTTTCTCAGGGCAGTGCTTTTATTTGGGCTCAATAGCATGATATTCAGCCCAGAAATGAGTTCTGTGATCCTTAACATTTTCGTGGAATTCAATTTCAGCTTGGCTTCCTGTTGACTGCCACAGGAATTGCTGCTTCCCATGGAACACCACAGTCTTCATGGTGCTGACATCTCGGACCTGCAGGAAGAAAAAACAAACCATTTTATCTCAGCAGGCTAGACATGAAATAAGTGCCTAAAAAACACTGGAGACTTGCAGATTGGTCACTCAGGGAAAAGCTGTGCTACAAAGGTTAGAAGAAATACAGCAGATATCAGAAATTCACGTTCCCATCAGCGATGGGAACACAACAGAGATCCAAGGCCCTGATTTGTCACTGAACTATGGGTGGAAATCTCGAATGGAGATGGGTTTGCTCCCATCCAAATCATCCCACTGGGGTTGCTGCCTCCTCACCAGGATGTAGTTGAAGTCAGTCTGGTTGCCCTCAGGGCCCAGGTCAGCGTTGAGGGCACGGATGGAGATGCGCTGCCGAGGAGCCACCGTGATGAAAGTGCGGCACACCCCCTCCTGCCTCTCAGCAGGCAGCTGCACAGGAGCCACTATTTCACCCTGGGGGCCAAACAGCTGCTGGTCACAGTCTGACAGGGCAGAGGGAGGAGAGAAAATGGCTTAGAGAAGTATCCAGCACCTCCAAGAAAGAAATAATTTAAATTAAGCTCAGGCAGAATAGTTTCTTTAGGGATTTTCAGCTGGGGATCTTCAAGCATCAGCAAACACCTGTAGGGGGTTTGCTTTAAAACAAAGGGGGAGTCAACAATTAATACTGATTCCAACACTCCTCAAGAAGGGCATTGTTGCTAAAAATGAAGCAAGGCTTCCATAGATTTCCATAGGCAACCACTATTAATGGAACTCTGTGAACCTTAATCTAAAGCAAGAGCAAAGCTTTCAGTCCAGTACCTTGGTAATATTTTTTGGTTGCAGTTCTGCTGTTGTACTGCAGAATGACCCCGTTTCCTGGCAGCACAACACGCTGTTTCACAATCAGTGTGTTGGTTCTGGAATTTATCAGGGACAGAGGGAGCTTCCTGCAGCCTGTCCGCCACATCATTCGCCCAGAAAACAGCAGGACCTCACCTGGAACGGATGAGCACAGGGCCTAGAAACACTTTTATTTTAAGTAAAAGCCAAAGTCTCTCTTAGACAGGTCTGGAATCAAGTAATTTCTGCATCTTGTTTCTATCTTATCAAAATCTGTCATGAGAACAGGCCAGTTAAGTAATCTAACTGCTGATTCCAGCTAGAGGGTACATTAGTTTTATAACAGGCCAGAACAAGCAGCTTCTTTAACCCCATAAGCTCCTTTCATCTCATATCTACCAATAAAACAGGTAGGAAACCACTGTGTGAGGGGAGGACAAGCAGCATCTTCATTTTGTTCCATCTGGCAGCAACTTGGAACAGGAAAACTCAGTAAAGTGGTTTCAGAGATTACAGAGGCTCTGAGGCAGCCAGAGCTTCTCAAGGCACCAGAAAAGGTGCAGTTTGAGATGCAGCTTTGCCAAAGGGCCAGGCTGGACCCCAGAGCTCCAGGCAGTACCTGCACTGCAGTTGAGGGAGCTCTCCAGGATGGTCACCAAGATCTCCTCCCTCAGGGGACGCCCGATGGCCACCGTGCAGTCCCTGCTCTCCACGCCTGTCATGTTGATGATGCCAGTGGCATTGAGAAACAGCTTTCCACAGACTCCTGGAGAGCAGAGACAGGTGAGAAAGGAACACCCAGAAGGAACTACAGGAAAACAATTCCCTTTGGGGCACAATGAACAGATAAGGTTCGTATTCTGGGTAAAGCACAGGAAGAGTCATAGAATCCCAGAATATCCTGAGTCGGAAGGGACCCACAAGGGTCATGGAGTCCAGCTCCTGGCCATGCACAGGACTACCCCAGCAATCACACCATGTGCCTGAGCGTGTTGTCTGAATACTCCCTGAAGCCTTGAGCTGCTGTCCCACAGGCTCCCAAGTCAGCAGAGATTTGGGAAGCACGGGGAAGCGAGTCTTTGTTCCTAGCTCAGGTAACATGGACATGCTGGAACAGCAGGTTTTCCCTCCCAGCCAGATGCATTCCCTCCCTACCCCTGTCTGGCAGCAGGATCCCCACAGCCCAGCTGCACACAAGAAGCTCCTTTTGGCTGTGTCCTCCTCACCTCCACTGGGCTCTGTCTGCTCCCAGGGCCCAGCAGACAGAGGGACATCCAGGTCCTTGTGTCTGTGCTCTGGGGCAGCTGTTGCTGTTGGCAGGTGTGTGGCTGGTGGCACTGGCTGCAGCTCTGCCCCAGGGGACTGGGTCCCCTCCTGCTCAGGACAGGGCCCTGCGGAGCAGCCACGCACTACGATGGCCTTGGGGAAGCGCCGGCAGAAAAGGGGGTTCACGGCCTTGTGGGTCAGAGAGCTGAGGCAGAAATCCTGCCTGGTCTGAATGCCATTCCCACAGGTTGTTGAACACTGCAAAAGAACAAACCCACAGGCTTTTATCCCAGCATTCCAGGTGGTATTTGGAAATAAATGAATGGATAAGTTCATGCATTATCTGGGGGGCATTCACTGATGCTCTTCTACTATTTGCCCTGTCAGTGCTCTCATTACATCAGCTATAAGATACCCCACTTTCCAGGGGACCTTCCAAATTATATATTTAAATTGCAGAACCTCTTCCTAAAAAAAATCCCAAAATATCAGCATTCCAGGAGAAAACATGCCAAAACCATTTCTAAGCTGCAGCCAAAACCTGAGCTGAGGAAGGTGGGAAGCAAACCTACGGCTGCTAAACACAGGGCAGGGGAAAAGATGGAAAACACCCCTGGAAACAGTTCAGTATTTCTGTGGGAAGCTAACAGACATGGCAGAAGTTATTTCTCCCCTGCAGCCTCCAGGGAAGGGAAGAGGTGGAAAACTTCTGCATCTGAGGGGGAGCAGGTACCTCTGACCACTCGCTGAAGCTCCACTCGTAAGAGCACGTGCGGATGACACAGGGGACACTGGTGAGGGGCTTCTCTGCCACAGGACACAAATGTTCCTCCTGCAAGACCTCCTGGCCATGCAGGGT